AATTAATGGTCCAAAAGAGGCGAGTAAATAAAAACGTGTCTTAGTCCTGCTAACTGCTTTAGGCTAATTAGCGAGCTAACGCTAGCTTGATCAGCTGGATGACGAGTAAGTGACGGCGAAGCTGCTACAAAGCTGTTACGTTCCTCACGTCAAAACGGGACGACGTGGTGCTTCCGTGCCACGTTACGTCGACTTTGCATGTATTTCATAAACTTTCAGGGCGCTCACGTGTCGCGCATCGAGCGTGACAGTCACTCATCTCGGCCTTCAGTAACGCGTCACGTGACTCGCAACAACTGCGGCGCCGCTGGCTGCTCTTTGCTCCGCGTGCATCTCTGAGTGACGTAATAATCGCGCGACACAACGAATCAATAATGAAATTCGTTGCCAACGCTTTTAATAATAGAATTGTATCGATGTCAGCGATTCGTTGTTGCAGCTTAGAATAAATTATGAAAGAAGTAGTCATTTTCTCACATACTTCTATGGGACCAGAGGAGTCGCCCCCTGCCTGTCACTACACAGAATGTAGTTCTTAGTCGATTTAAAATTAATTAAATTAAATTAAGCTCTTTGCTTAGTGACATAAGTGATCAATTAGAAGTGAAGAAGTTTTGTAATGTTCAACAGAATTTCTCTTATTAGAAAAAAAAAGTCTACCACCCAAAATGTATATAAGTATTTCTGAGTTGGCGGCCCCATCATCGCACATGACACCAGCTAGATCCTCAAAACGTCCCTTTCACAACATTCACCACGCTGTCAAAAGACCCATAAATAGTAACCCAAAAAAAAGCTCCCGTGTGGAGTTTCCATAGAAACCCGAGAATGGAAGTTTTTTTTCTTTTGTCTTCGACTGAGAGAGACTGGAAGCTGTGTCATCAGGTTCCGCTGCGGACCTGCTGTGGAGGCATAACCCATTTGTTATTAGTTTACGTGATTACATTGGCCACGTTCGGCTCCAATGGGACGCTTTCAAATCCGGAGATCCAAGAGGAAAGCAGATGTTTGGTTCATTGTTTCGCAACCAAATTTCACTTGGACAATCAGTCCCCGATTTGTTAAGAGGAACGTGTCAAAGATACAACATATGTTTCAGTTTCTGCTCTCTTTTTTTTTTTTTTGTGCGCTCCATCTTTCACCCAGTTGTGTGGTCGTTTAGCTTCTTCAGGGCCAAAAGTCTCCTTCTGGCTACTGGCGTTCATAAGCACGACTCGGCTGCTCTGTGCAGCTCATCTCCTGTCTTCACACCAGGAAACCCTCTAGGTTCTCTCAATAATGTGGCAGTGACCGAATCCGGCTCTACAGCGGCCATAAAAAAAGCCCATTAGGAATCAATTTAAACCCTAATGTGGCTTTAATGGATTCAAGACATTCCCGCTCCCGTCATGTGGCAGCGCTCGTACCGCAACGCTGGTGGTGAGATACTCGGCAAATGGCCACGTGCCAATGAACAGCAAATGTCCCGTGACCGCCTGGTCAGCGCGGCGGATGCCCGTCCGACGTGTCGTGGGAATGTTTCGTGGAAGGCCAAAACCAGGTAGACAGCACATACACCCCTCTCCCTCTTTCTCCGTCCCCCCCCCCCCCGCGGGGTTCCGGGAGGTGTCCATAGGGGAGCGGAGTGATGTCTGGCTCTCGCACAGAGGGGGGTCGGGTTTATGTCTGCTGTGGTTACACACGGCCCTTGAACTGCTGACAGAGCTCAACGCTCCCCGTGACCTTGGCTCATTGGCAATAGCAGGTTCTTAATGTGTTGGGATTTTTTTTTTTACAGCGTGACGGCGAGCAGAGGTTCACCCAGTTACTCAAGCGAGTTTGTTTTCCGAGGGATCACACGTGTCCGTTGCGCTCGCAGGTTCAGGAAGTGGACGGAGCCGCCGCTGTACACGTACATACATACATACATATATATATATATATTTGTGTGTAATCCAACGCACAAAAAGGTGGTGGAGCATTTAATGATAAAGCACCATAACAACTCGCGGTGTGTTGAATCTGTAACAGACCTCCTGTCTCTTTTTGTCTTTTTATAACGTGTCTCACGAACGGCTCTGTGTGAAGTCGAGCGGTCGCTCATCCCCATTCGACCCGCTCTTTCCTCCGTGGACACACAGGCATGCGTTGTGTGTGTGTGTGTGTGTGTGTGCGCGCTGGTTGTTGACATGTGGCTGTGTGGCAGAGCAGAACACTTGGCTAATTCAGTTACAATCCAGTGCTGTGCAAGAGGACACTCTAACAGCCAAATCCCTTTAACACACTGGACTAATTGCATTATCTGCAGGACAAGAGTAAATGCACGGAGCAGCTGATGCTCTCGCTCTCTGCAGGTTGTCCCTGATCGCTCTTCTGTTTATCCGACCGTCTCATTCACCCCCTCCCCACAAGGAAAGCCAGCGCTTCCGACTTCTTGTTGTCAGAGAAGCAAATGACATTCACTGGGACTTTTAACTCTCAAACGTGGGAGGAGGAGGAGGCGTCGCTGATCTGACTCGTGAAAGTCTGGCATTCTGGCCGAGTTCCCTCCAAATCAGGCGTTGAGGCAGTTAGTGAGGCGTTGCGAGGTTGCGACGCTTTTAACGGCTCGTTTTGTGCCGTGCCGGGTCCTCAGCGGGATTCTCTGCCCACACCACGGATACAAAAAACGTATTTACGTACGTATTGTTTGTACATTTTCATATATCCCAAGTTGCTTATTGTCTCATTTACTATCGATCAATGTTTTGATCTCTTCTTCCGGTCATTCCTACAGTTGAGAAAGCGGATGGATGATAATTCTATCAAGCTTTTCCATTTAATTGCATTGATCGGGAGTAAAGAGCCAGAAGCCTTTGGGTTACCTGTGGTCTGAGTTGGGTGTTGCTGCACATTTACTAGATCTTTACCAAAGTACAAAGAGTCTGACGCAGCAGGCTGGGTGCTTCTGTAGAATTACTCCCGTAAACTTCAGCACAGATGTGAAGAGCTATAGGAGACGTGGCGTGAGGCAACGATCTGGCTGCTCCTCCTTGGACCAGAAATTACTGTTTTGTTTTTTTTTTTTGTGGTGTTGATACACAAACCATCATTCATGCAGTCAGTACCTTGTTTTGGGCTCTACCTTTGTCTGTGACACACACACACACATAGAGCGCCATCACTGTCGCCATCTGTCCTGCACACCCGCCCCACCTCTCCTGCACTCAGCGTCTTCATTTCTCACTCTTTCTCGCTCGCTGTGGTGATCTTCAGTGAAACACGGAGAAACTCTTCTGCCGGAAACTCCTCTTTTCGTGGGAACAGAACAGGGAGCAGAAACCAGCTGACACAAAGTTGCGGGACACAAACACACCAGTGAGTTGCACAGAACTCTAAATACAAAAGTCAACCGCTAACTTAATATAAATCCGTAAAGACATCTTCTCTTCCCACCAGGCTCACCTAAACATTTTAGCAAAGGGAAGTTAGATGTTGTCCTTTTTAACTGTTATTGTGGTCATTTGCATGAAAACACACACATACGAAGGGTTGAAATATTTGTAACTGAAATGAATTACAATATAATTGTAGTTGAGTGAGTGTAGCTGTTCTAAATGTTACTGAGCTCCATCGGTTAGCCGAGCAGGACGGTGCTGCTAACAGATGGTAAGAGGTACGTGGACCTTTCATATTAAGGTCCAAGTAGCTCTCCTCTGTTACCGTTTTAATGCCTGACCCCCGAAACATTTGTTTTTCACTTTCTACTTTGTCAACAGAGCTGCTCATGCAAGACTTTATGTTCCTCGGTTTCCATGAGTGCAATCACTTTTACCATGTGATAAGCATGTTGACTTTGGACGCTGTACTGCCACCGAAGGTTTTTATTATACATTTATACACAAACGAGTGCTTGCGAGCGTTTCGTATTTTACCGTTTAATCCGATCTCTTTTGCCTTCGAGTAGCTTGAACCTGTCGATTTGCCACAAAAATTGCAAAAAGCTGCACTTTCCCCCTGAAAGGAGGCCCAGTGCATTGCTGCAGTGCCCCCCGCCCCCCCCCCCCCCCACGCACACAGACTGGACCTGCAGAGCCAGAGAGCGATTGGCTCTGTGCTCCAGGCTGTGTGATTCTCTGCAGCAGGGCAATGTCACCCTGGCTCACCATCACGCCTCATTCTGTACTTTTATTCTCCTCTGAGCCTCTAAACGCTTCATTAGCCTTTAACAAGACTGCAGAGCCGGCTCCGTGTGAAACACAATTCTCTCTCCCCGTCCCCCCGTCCCCCCGCCTCCCTGTGGCCGTGCGAGTTCTTATCAGCGTCCTTCACGTTGTTAGTTTCCAGAGTTGAGATGCATCTCTTGCAGTGATCAGAATCACAAACACTAACAGCAGAGGGGGAAATGGGGGGCGCGGTTGGACTGAAGCCTTCCTCATGGAGACCCACCCTGAATGGAGAACATTGATGCTGCTCTATCCTGCTACCGTAGCCCCCCCCCTCTCTCTCTCTCCCGTACTCGCTGTCCCTCTTTTGCCCGGATTGTCCGTCCCTGAATGGGCCTTTCAGGCCTCCGGGCCGAGCCGATACAAAACCTTCCCCTGCAGGATAAAGGGACGGAGCCCCCGGCCCTCCGAAGGCGTCAGTCAGCCAAGCTCATCGCTCTTAGAACTGTGGACACACAACATTTGATTATCAGGGCAACATACACTTGTGTTAATGTCTCCTTTTTGGTGGTTTGGTGCCACCGAGTCGGGATCCTGGTTGATTGAACTGAATTCTACTTTAAAATCTCCGCTTCAATCCTGAAGAAATGTGCTTTCTCTCGGTGAGTCAGTTATGACTCCTAGAACCTTTGAATATACAGTTCATTCTTTGTCCTTTTTGACTTCTGTCTGATGCTGCATTACTTTTAGCTTTAAGCGTTCTTTGTCGTTTGATGATCCGCGTTGGCGGATAGTTTGGTAATCGGGTCATTAGCAGTTGTAATGAAGTATTCTCATCTGTCCTTTATTCTCCCCGTGGCTCTTTTCCGTCCGCAGGCCGCCGCCCAGCTCCCCTGCGCCAAGGCGCTCTACAACTACGACGGCAAGGAACCCGGCGACCTCAAGTTCGTCAAGGGCGACGTCATCATCCTGCGCCGGCAGGTGGACGAGAACTGGTACCACGGGGAGATGGGCGGGGTCCACGGCTTCTTCCCCACCAACTTCGTCCAGGTCATCAAGGCGCTGCCGCAGCCGCCGCCGCAGTGCAAGGCGCTGTACGACTTTGAGCTGAAGGACAAGGAGGCCGACAAGGACTGCCTGCCCTTCTCCAAGGTGAGACGCGGCCGCTGCGGCGGCGCTCTGAAGCCAAAGCGCTGGCGGAAATGTTTCTGTGCCGTGAGCCAGACGCGTTGATGAAGCTGGACGCTCACACGGAGGAACTGGTTATTTCTCCCCAGCTGTTGGAGGTCGTTTGTTTACCACACAAACAAAAAGAAGCTGACTAAGAAGCCTCACTGTTAACAAACTTCTAACATGCGTTCTGTTCCTCGAGGAGGACAAACGCTAAAAGTTAAGTGTCCTTAATCAGGTCCCCACAACATCGGCTTCTTTCTTCAATTTTAGGATGATATCCTGACCGTGATCCGCAGAGTGGACGAGAACTGGGCCGAGGGAATGCTGGGAGATAAAATTGGAATTTTCCCCATCTCATATGTTGAGGTAAGAAAATTACCACCAAAAAAACCCGATTATTTAATGTCACGATGTCACTCGTTAGCAGAGTGGAAGAAGTGTGGTGACATTTTACAGTCATTTTTAAGTAATGGTTTTACAGAGATGATTTGTGATCTTCATACTTCAACAATAAGGCCAAACACTGGTCATGAGGACGGTTTTATGGGGGATCACAATACAGATGGAAATGAAACAAATCATACTCCAAACTTAAGTTGAACAGTAAATTCTGTCCCTCCGCTGCTGAGAGCTTCCATGACACGTTTATTATGGAGAGTGACAGTTTCCATGATCTCTCTAATACCGCCGGCTCCGGCTTGTCCACCTCTCTGCCCCCCCACTAACCCCCTCCCGCAGTTCAACTCGGCAGCTCGGCAGCTGATAGAGTTGGACAAGCCGTCGGACTCCAGCGGGGACTCCGGCGAGGGGGCTTCCTCGGGGCCCCAGAGCAACGGCGCCCAGCGCGCCGGAGAGAAGAAGAACAGCAAGAAACGACACTCCTTCACCTCGCTCACCATGTCCCACAAGCCCATGCTGGCTCCGCCCCCCCAGCGCCACTCCATGGAGATCAGCGGGCCCGTGCTCATCAGCTCCAGCAACCCCACGGCGGCCGCGCGAATCGGGGAGATCAGCGGGGGGCTTTCCTGCAGCGCGCCCTCACAGGTACGACGCCGCCGCACCGCAGGTCCCTCCTCCCCGACGGTTTCACCCGAAAACAAAAATTAGTGAGATATATCCTCCAGTTATTTCAGCCCGGCTCCACGAGATGTTTGTTGCGGTTCCGAGGTCTCCGCTCTCCCTCTGTCAGCAATTAGCTCCGCCCCCCTCCGCCCCCACCCGCCCCCCCTTTCAAACGCGTGCACACACAGAACGGGGCGCTGCTCCACCCAAGCGTTGGAAGTCACAGATGCGTGACTCCACTCGCCTGCTAAGAAAGAAGCGCTGCGGCTCCGCCTCCCCCCCCCGAGGTCTCCGCACCGATCCCGACGCTACAGGAAGTCACAGCTGCTCTGCGGCCGCCGCCGGCGAGATCAGCTGTGAGTCACCGCCGAGCCGTCGGAGCGACGACAAGCGACTGACGTGCAGGTTCACAAGTGTCCAGCTGATTTGTCTCAGTCCCTGACCTGAATGTGGAGGGAATATTAAGACGAGCAAGGTAGATACAGATAAAGTCTAATCAGGTCTGAATAATTAAATAATGGTAAATAAATATAGAAAGAGGAAAATGTACATGTTGATAGTTCTTCTTCACATTGTTGTGAAACTCTTTCCTCTTAAATCTCCTTTGTGTCGTCTGCATGTGGCAGACTTTCTCCTCGTTAAGCTCAGTTCATCTTTCATCTGGCGTGTTTGTGCGTCTTTGTGAGGCGAGGCGGGGAGAGCGCTCGTCTCCGTCAAAGTGGATCTTGAGGATTTTTTTTTTCTCTTTCATGTTGAACTGATTCATGAATCATCAAAGACTTCTGTATCCATGCGGAAGCTGTAATCAGGTTTTTAATGACTCCAGACTATTTTTCTCCTCATCATTATCAGGATACTTTTAGAATACAATAAATTAAATGTGTGCCTGTGATCTGATCTCCCCCGAGACAACGGGGCTAACAATACTTTTCATTAAATAGAAACGCAGCCTCTATCCTGTCCTCCTTCGCCCCTTCACCTCCTCATCTTCTCTCCTCCCAAAACCCAGACATAAAACACAACAAAGGAGAGCTCCGGTTGCCCGGGAGGCTAAACAGCCCTCTTGCAAAATGTCTGGCGCTTTGATAGACTTGAAATGTTTTTATTTAAATTAGCACAGCACACCTGCAACAGCGGGTTTTTTTTTTTTTTTGTCTTATTTGTTTCCAGGCAGACGTTTCTCTAACCGTCTCCTCCTGCGTCTCCCTTTGGCGCACAATAGATCAGAAGGTAGAAGATTGAATCCGAGGAGGTTGGGCTGCTTCCTGAAAGGCTCACCTTAAGAGTGGAGCAGTCATGCATGGAGGGGGGAGGCGGGGGAGGGAGGGGGGGGTGGTCACAGGTCTACAGGGAGATATTGTGTCAAACTCCACAACAGTACGGCCTTGTTACCAGGACAGCGCCGCGACTCACGTGGCCGACAGGTTGGAGGAGCCGCCTCTCTTTTTGTCCAATTAAAAGTCCCGCTGGGCGGTCACCTGGTTTCTCTCGGCCTATTGCGTCGTCGCTTGCGTACAATGTGGCGTGTTCAGGTCTGAAGTACAGAAGCCCATCTTCTCACATGTGGGTTCATGATTCCCTCCTGGAATCTGATGAATGTGATGAGACTGACTACGAGCATGTGGTGTTTACCTAAAGGGGCAACAGCAATGTGTGTGGTTTGTGTTTCACTACAGGAGAACAAAGTGATGAAGTCTGTTGTGGACGTAGTTTAGACAGATTCAAATACAACAACACAAACCAACACTTGCGCTCTTTTGAACCGAGCATCATAACAGCCTCACGGCAGCAATATAACCATTTATCCGCATTGTGCTGCTCGTGTGTTGGTGAAGCTCGTCCTATACTTTGGGTCTAATGGTCCACATCGCTCTCTTGTTGACAGGTACACATTTGCACAACTGGACTCATCGTGACCCCGCCCCCCAGCAGTCCTGTCACCACGGCAACGGTCTTCACGTTCCCGTCGGAAACGAGCTACACGTCCACGCCCGTGGTAGGTGGAATCCTCGCAGGTCTCATGAATCTCGTAGTAAAAGCTCCACGTGTCTTATTTCTGTCGCGCTAAACCGATTTAAAAATACATTTATGGAGATTCATTCATATTCATAACAAGTCGTCAAGGCACGTTTGTGTTCAGCGGTGCGCGTGCGTCCGTTTAATGCTCTGATTTTAACTCTGAAATAAGGGTTGAATATATTCACACAAGTATGAAACGCAGCAAAGCTTCCGCCCACACACACTCCGTTAATCTGGTTTAGATGCGCTGGCTTTAATCTCTGCAAACCGATGGCAAGATGTGGGGGAAACTTTTAAGCAGAAACAAACTTCCAACAATGTTCCTGCTGAAGGGGAAAAATAACTACAAAATGTCAAAGAAAATCCCTTCAGCCCACATAAAACCAGCACGCACACTTCCTGTCTGTCTCCGTGTTCGCGCCGGCATGTGGAGTTTCTGAATGAGCAGGAATGTGCAAACACAAAAGCTGCAGCTCTCCGCTTCACTTGGGAACCCTACATGATGTTTCTGTACAGATGATTTCTCTCGCCCGCAGCCGCCTAATTATCTCAGCCCGAGCGTCAGCAGCCAAGCGAAATGCACATCGACGCTCGCTCGCTCGTACGCACGCACGCGCACGCACGCACGCGCGCCGCGGGCTGCTCCGCCGTTGTGTCATGGAAGCTCTCACTCGCCGTCCGGCTCCCCTCGCTCCGGGGTAAAGCAAAAAAGAAAAGAAAAAAGGTTTCTCACTGTTACGTTTTCACTTTACGCTGTATGCCGACGCGGCAGGTTTCATTTTTAATCTTTTGTCTAGTGTGCTGCTCGATGCCTTTTCTGTGCTCATTAGTCTCGTTTCCCTCTGAAGTGTTTTGTTTTTGTTCGTGGTTTCTTTCTCTATATTCTTTTTACTTTATACGCTCCCGATTGAAGCGCTGCCATCCAGCCATGTGGTCTCCTAGCAACAAACAAACAAGCCAGAACAGGATAATTCTCCACCCCGAGGGGGGAAGTCGGTGACACCACCGCCTCCCCCCTCCCTCCCCCCCTCCCTCCCTCCCTCGCTCCCAATGAGTGACACGGCCGATGACAGATGATCTCTTATTCTAGTTTTCCTCCTTGTTGTCTCGGTGTCTCGCTCTGAACTTCCCAATAAGAGTGTTGTTGTTGTTATTGTTTCTCTTCTCTTCCAACAGGATGCTCTCCCGCCGCCCCCCCCCTCCTCCCCCGCAGTCCTCCGTCGACGGGGCGGCATACTCATTGGCTGCTGGACAGAGACCCTCCCCCAGCGTCAGCGACCAAAGTGGGAGACAAAGACCCACAGTGTGAGCAATAAAAACAGTCCTGCACAACCCCCCCTCCCCCCTCACTCCCCCTTTACCCCCCCCCCCTGAAAAATGCAGTCTTCAAAAATGTGCTGCTAAATGACAGAAGCGGCTCGCGTGGCGACGGCCCCAAGGCCTTAATGGGGGAGGGAGAGAGGGGGTAGACCACAGAATATGAGCACAGGAGACTGGGGGGGAGGGGGGGGGGGTTCAATACCTGTGGGGGTGGCCGGGGGGGGGGGGGGGGCAAACAGTCTCCTGGGTCTCATCGGTGAATCCCCCCCCCTGACTCATGACCCCAGCCCTCATTACTCTTCCAGGACACCGCACACCTGATAAGAATTAGATCCACCCACGCTGTGCGTGTGCGTGTGCGTGTGCGTGTGCTGTGTGCGTGCATGCGTGCTGGTTTTGTTTTGAGCCACAGTTGATAAAACGGCCCATTTGAACGCGTCATAACATCCGATGCTCATTTTATTGCCCCATGATGGTGGAACCACCGTACGGGTCTCGTGCTCGGACGTTATGTCGCTGTTGCCATGGTTACCAACGTAAACCAGCTCTCCTCCGGCCGACGACCGCAGTCTGTCGTGCACATTAATAATAACTTTTTCCCAATGTTCACATTGGCTTTCGCGCCCAAAGTGACTTGGTGGCTCTTGCATTGGTGTCGGAAGTCGAGTCGAGGTCTTTCCCCACGCCGTTTGACCAGTTCTTCTCCTGGGTGCAGCTACGTGGCCATGTTCCCCTACACGCCGCGTAAGGAGGACGAGCTGGAGCTGAGGAAGGGCGAGATGTTCCTGGTGCTGGAGCGCTGTCAGGACGGCTGGTTCAAGGGCACCTCCATGCACACGGGCAAGATCGGGGTGTTCCCCGGGAACTACATGAGCCCGGTCAGCAGGTCGGTGCTTCGTCGCAGGTCGGCGATCCCACCTGTGAAATATTCACAATAGCGTATAAATAGTAGAGAGACAAGTAGTTAAACTATTGTGATTACACATCGATTGCCTTGTTTGTTTCTGAATAAAAAGCTTCCTCGCTGACTGTCTTTGTGCATTTTTTTCCATCTAGGACAGCGTCGGGCAGCACGCAGCCCAAAGTGCCCATGAGCCTTTGCACCCAGTCCGGCCGAGGGGTCACTGTCATCAGCCCCTCCCCCACGGCCGTCGTCCCGGGTCCCGACATCAACAAGCCCCCCGCCGTGTGCGCCGGTGCCGCTCCGCCCAGCCTGCAGCCCGCCACCGTGGCGGCTCAGACGGCCACGGGTCAGCAGCCCAAGGTCCCTCTGCACGTCGGCTCCCAGATGACGGTGAACCAGGCTCGCAACGCGGTCAGGACGGGTACGTTTACCGAAAATGACTTTACTCCGGGAGTAAATCAAAAGTAAAGTAAACAGTTTATGGTCGATCTGTAGTCCTGTAAGTCTTCAACACGGCATGATGTTCATTTAGAGTCAAATAGACCACAAAGCAGGGGATGCTTTAGGGCGGGGCTACACGCTGATTGACGGGTCTCTAAAAGACCATAAACCAGGGGAAGCTTTCATCTTGGTCGCTAGATGAGCACCTGGTTTTAAATGTGTACTATTGTTCATCGTACATCTTTAAATACAGCAGCCGGTCACAATCACGACCGGCCAGCCCCCGCCGGGACCCAGGCCCAGCCGCCCGCCGCGCCTCTGGCTTACCTGCCTCACCTGGCGTCTCCTTCCTCCGGCCCCGCCCAGTGCTGCTCGCGGGCCAGCGCGGCGATGGGCTGCGCCGCCGCCTCCCTGACTCCACCCAACGTCAGTGCGGCGTCCCTGGACGGTGACGCTCTGAGGCCCGCGGTCGTCTCCGTCTCGGGGATCGATCCCACTTCCAGCAGCGCCGCTCTCGCCTGCCGACTGGACAAGGACGTCAAGGTGTGATATGTGTGAATGTTTCTCAGAAAACATCTGGATCTGATGAAACAAAATAACGAGTTTCACATCAGCGTCACATTCACACCTCGAATAACTTCCTCTAATATGACGTCTCGTTGCTGCAGAGAGAGAAGAAAAGTCTCCTGAAGCTGTTGTCCTCGAACAAGAAGAAGTCTCGTCCTTCTCCGCCCTCGTCTCCTACCTTGGAGGCGGAGCAAGCCGCGGCCTCAGAGGCGCTCTACGCCGCCGTCGCAGACGCCGGCCTTTTCTCCCCCGGCGAACCCAAACCCGCCGCCGTGTCTTCCGCCGCGTCCTCCGCCTTCTCGTCCTCCTCGGCTCCGGACTCCTCCCACAGGAAGGTCGGCCCCCTCGACGGATGCGCCCCCATCGCTCCGCCTCCTCGCCAGCCGTGCTCCTCCCTCTCGTCTCAGCAGCACGACGTGCGGCCCATCATCTGCGAGAGGTACGCCGGCGCTTATATAAGGATGCTAACAGGCGTAACCGTAACGAGTAATAAAAACACTTTATTATAATAACGACCAAACACGCGTCACTTAAAACAAACTGAACTGGCGCTTTTTGAGCATGGCGTTGTTGACATTCCCCCCCCCCCCCCCTCAGGTACAGAGTGGTGGTGTCGTACCCCCCCCAGAGCGAGGCGGAGCTGGAGCTGAAAGAGGGCGACGTCGTGTTTGTTCACGGGAAGGGGGAGGACGGGTGGTTTAAGGGAACGCTGCAGAGGAACGGCAGAACCGGCTTGTTCCCCGGCAGCTTCGTAGACAGCATCTAACACACACACACACACACACACACACACACACACACACAGTACAAACAGGTACGCACACACGCACACACACACACACAGGAACACCGCGCTGAACCAACATGGTCGCCGGCCTCGACAAAACGGATCAGCGCTGCTGAGATTTGTCGGGACAGAATCTTGATGGTGACACTTCAGCTCCTTTTAGAGAATGAATGCTGTCTGTACGGGAGGAGGAAGAGGAGGAGGAGGAGGAGGGGGGGGAGGGAGAAGAAGAAGGAGGAGGAGGAGGAGGAGGAGGAGGGGGGGACCGTGGTGTCATTGAAAGCATAGCGGAGTTTGGTACGGAAGCCCTGAAGGGACATTAATCAAATGTTCCTCTTGTTGTCGCTGTGTCTTCATCACGAGAAAGCAGAAGGTTGGAAGTGAAGTTAGTGGACAGACTCCCGCTTTTCAAAATAAAGTGTTAAAAAGACTACATAAAAGATACGTATGAGATTAATTATTATTGGTGTAGTTACACTTGTAGCTCTTTTAAATTATTCAATCAATTTAAACCAATCAATTAGTTATAACGGAAAACAACCTTTTTATTTTCTAGACAATAACTAAGAAAATAAAGTTTGAATCTTGACCTTTCAGGGCTTCCATAGTCAAAGAGAAAAACTACACACAATCTTTTTCCTTTTCTTTTTGTTGTTGGTTATTTATATCTTTGTAACAATTCAGCTGTTTAAATGTGTGCCTTGTACTGTCGCTCACTTTATTGTACATAAAGGACGCAGAGATGATTAGTCCTAAAAACAACCAGTATGAGCTGTTGATATCGATATGTTACACATTTTAACTTATTTCATAGATCAACCTTTCTCTTTTTGGTGCCACACATTAAGAGCTCTCTCTCCTCCCGGCGACCCCCCCTTTCAGACCGGGGGAGAGTCGGCCGATCGGACGCGCCGGATGAGCCTGTTTGGAAAAGGACAAAACATGACAACGTTTCCTGGAGGCATTAACTCGAGCTGCGGATCCGCCGGATTGCACATCAGATATTTGCGTCGAATGGACGGAGACAAAGTGGTTGACCTTGTGGTGAATTCACTTTGTTTGGTTAAACACTCCACGGTGGACGTTGCAGTCGAAATGTCAGCTTGCTTTGTTGCTCCTTTTGTATCTACGGACCAGAGTAGCTCCTCTCAGACACCTCGTGTATATTTAAGATGTTTTTTTTTTTTGTACGCTATAACTCATTCCCGATGTGACTTGTGGCCACGGAAACCCAGCTAGCTAAAGCACAGAGCGTTGGCCCGAAGTGACGCATCACCGCACGACTCCTACGGGAAGAGATGAGCTTCTGCTCCAAATCCTCTTTGTTTGTACGATGCTTCTCTGAAAAAGTTCTTAAAGTTGAGTTTTGTATCCACTTGAATTACTGTAAGATGTCTGTGTTTTGAGGGGATTTTCGGGTGCTCATTGAAACGAGAACTAAAAGAAATAAGCAGTTTTTAGAATTAATTGCAGCGTTTTTCTTTCATCGGATGAAATATCTGAACTTCAAAATAAAAGCATTAGGTGTTACCATCGACCAACTGAGTGCTGTGAGGTATTTAAACACTTCACATTGATCACTAAATCGTGCCAAATTTGTCTTTACGAATGCATTTACTGGCTGAATTGGACATTTTATTTCCTTAGTTAAATGCGGGGAACCACTGTGTAACTGACTGCTGGAATATGTTGTAGTTTTGGCGAGTGAGAAAGGATACGTAGGTACGAATCACTGTCGGGGCCTTTTTTTTTTTTTTTTTAGTTTTTTTAAAATAATGTTGTCTTTCTGAATCGATCGTCACAGCGACCTCGGCCTCCGAGCTGAGCCGCTCCTCCGGGTGTCTTTTTCATTTCACTGGGAAGCCTTTTAAAATCCACACGGAGATGGAACTTAACTTACTGACTTTCTCCTCCGGGCTGCACATTTCTCAAAACATGAAGCATTTCTTAACAGTCAATAAACTATATTTCCATTTATTGGAACAGGATTCAGCTTAACGGACTCTCCTCATGCCAAGGTGACTTACTGGATCTTTTTGGGGGGGTTTTGTCTGTAGTTAGTATGTCGTAAGTCTGAAAATGGTGAAACTGAAATTTGGCACAAAATATATTGTGTTAAAAACATTCTAAAGTGTTTAAGGGAATAGCACATTTTTTTTGTAAAAATCTAACAATAAAAGTTAATGATTTGGAGTATTTTCTTGTTTCATCTCTGACTGTTAAAAAGGAAACCGATGGAAGAAAGAAGACACACAAACTAGTTCATTACTCACATTAAGATTATTTATTGTTATTGTTTGAATGTGGCCCTGAAGCATCTTTCTGTACCTTTTGGTGCATTTAGGAGAATTATATTACTAGAAGGTAAGCTAATGTTTTATTTCCACTAACTTAAAAGAAGACTCGTTATGGAGAATAAAAAGGCCAAAAGGAAAACAAATGTTTCTGCTGACGTCTCCGACTCGCCAGCCGAGGAGTCGCTGTGTAATTGAGTCCCGGCCCTTTTGTGGTCGATGATGACTCCGGGGATAAAGAGCAGAGAGGTGCGTGGGCTCGGCGTGGGAAACACTGACAGGAAGTGACAACCAGCCAGAGGTCAGCGTGCTGCAGCAGGACAGGTTACCATGGTAACACGTCCCCCCATGTAGGAGCCTCGAAGGACACGGACGGTGCAAAGGAATAGATTCATCCCGCGTGTAGCCGGTTTATGTCTAAATATGAATATATGGAAATGTGTGTGTATAATATTTATATACATTTAAGAAAACAGCAGCATCTGCTAAAAATACCCCAGAAATCTGGTCATGCAGGTTTGACTGAATATGTGCAATCAAACAGGCAAGAACTAGGTGCGTGTGTGTGTCACACATGCTTATGCAGAGTTAGAGATTCATCTTGTGTGCTCGAGCCTCTGACGTGTTTGTGTGGATGCATGCGTGTGCGTGCACTCAGGAAATAGATCAGCAAGGTGTAAAAGATGAGAATAAATGAATACTAATCAGGCTCCGTTTCTTTCTGACACACAGTTCATCATTGGAGAGAAACATAGAAATAGGTTTATGAAACTAATTCTGTTGAAGTGGAAAAAATGAATAGATATAGTCTGGATTTGATGGAATAGGATATTGGTTCTTAATATCTCAATAGCTTGTTTTTTTACACATTTAAAGGTTTTCACCTTATTGGTTAATCGACTAATGAGCGCTGAATCTACCAAAATAAAGGGAAAGGGAGAAGTTATTGGATCATTAAAAAGGAGGGGAAGCTGCACATATTCCCGTGCCTTCATTAATGACCTGACCTCTAAAGAATATTGAGAAAACGTCAGAAAATTGAGAAAACGTCAGAGGAATAATCGTTCTGCAAGTCAGTTGTTAACCGAAACCTTTTGAGCTAAATATATTTACAGTACAATAAGGTCATTTGAGTCTCCTGAGGCACAACGGTAAGTTATCTCATTACATTCTAATGTATTTGAATGGTATAAATCAACCCTGTAACCTAATTTATTTCTTACTACTTAAATTGGATTTAAGTAAACCCCTTAAGCTAAATGCTAACTGCTCTATGGCAACATGTGATGTATTTGCTTTTGCTGTGTGAAGAAATCAGTGTTGTTACTTATTTTAGCTTCTTATAATAATTATAATGCCCTCGTATTGCTTTCATGGTTTGAATAATAAAACGTGTTATTTGGTTCAATTGTGAAGGGGGGGGGGAAATACTTTTATTTTGAAAAGTTACAACACGCAAACGTCACCGATTTGACGGAATGACCCGAAAGGCGCTTAAACCTCCGTATTTTCTCTGTTTTACGGCTGTCGAACTGGTCTGGCTCTAAAAGTTAAACGCAAACCAGCAGAATTCTCCGGTTGCGGCGTTTTTCTTCCCGCGCGGTGGATCCGCGGCGCCACCTGCCGGTCAACGCCGGGCAGCGCAGCGCGGCAAACAAAGATGGCGCCGCTCTGCTGAAACGGTACGGAAACGACTTCTACCGGAGAGGAACGCGGTCTATTCTGCGTGAAACAGCGGCCGAAAACCAGGTGAGCCGCCGCTAACGCCACACACGTCACCACCTCGTCACGGTTAGCGGGCTGAAAGCTGCTGACGTCACGAAAGGCAGAATGACCGTGAAATGTGTCGTGAGTTCGTCGCGCCTCGTTTCACTGCGCAGGATCCAGGTGTCATTAGTCCAACACGGAGGCTTCTTTAGTGTATTGTTGCAGAGACGATCAACTTAAAATAGAATAAATATAATAATCATACGCTGTAAGACAATTATGAGAAATATGTATGTAATGTAATTGTTTAGAAGAATGTGCAGGAATGTGTTTTAGGCGACAGGTCGATCGTGTTGACAATATAAAGAATATGCAATTAAAAAGAGAATATTTTATTAATGTGGTCTTTGGAGGTCAGCAACCATTGCAAATGTCACAACGACCCTTACTCCCACGTTATTTCACATGAGGAAATACTGTGTTATTGTGGCGTTTATCTGCTGGACCCGGTCGCACACATATACACACGTACACACAACTGCTTTGTTCTAAGTACTAATAAACGTTGTGTTCCTTCTCTCCTCGCGCCTCCTTTCCCACCGAGGCCTCCGTGCGCCCGCGTCATGTCCAGGCTGGCGGTGGTGTGCGGCGGCTCCCGGGGCATCGGGGGGGCCGTGGCCCGCCTGCTGGCCGAGAGGGGGTGCAGGGTGGCCGTGGTCTGCAGGGGAGAGGAGGCCGCCCGGGCCGCCGTGGCGTCCCTGCGCGGAGGTACGAAGTCTTCGTCAATGCAACTTTATTCACACAAACATCTGCGGAAGATGCACGTCGATACAATCTACGTCTCCGCGGGTCTCTGCAGTCGACCACGTGGCGCTCGGCTGTGACGTCTCCAAAGAGCACGAGGTCCAGAGGAGCTTCGAGACCATCCAGAAGACGTGCGGGGACGTGTCTTACCTGGTGAACGCCGCCGGCGTCAACAGGTGAGCGCCCCTCCCCCCCCTCCTCTCCGGGATGCTCGTGGCATTAAGTTTCAGTAACGCATTATCGTGCTCACTGTTATTTGTTTGTTTGTTTGTGTTTTCAGGGACGCTCTGCTGCTGAGGACCAAAGCGGACGACATGATGTCCGTGCTGCACACCAACCTGCTGGGCAGCATGCTGACCTGCAGGGCGGCGCTGCGCAGTCTGCTGCGCTCCCCGGGGGCCGCCATCGTTAACATAGGTAGCGCCAAACGCCGCCGTCCACGCACGATTTATTGATGAAACATCACAACTTTCCTCTTTATTTGATGGAAACAAGGACCGTTCTGAGGATAATGAGGGTTTTCACGGTTTCTAAACCTTGTGGTTGTAGACAGAAAACATGCGGCAGGTTCTAATGCTCTATTTCAGTTTAGTTTTCAAAGGTTTCTGTCATATTTCCTAACGATAACCTTTGTGTGTTTGTTGTTTACAGGCTCCGTCGTGGGCCTCTTGGAAAACGCCGGCCAGTGCGTCTACAGCGCCAGCAAAGCCGGCCTGCAGGGCTTCACGCTCTCCTTGGCGAAGGAAGTCGGCTCACGCGGCGTCAGAGTCAACCAGCAGGCTCCGGGTACCAACGCGCCTTTGACCCGCTTCTTCTTCTGGGTTTTTTTTTTATTCTTCCAGTCTCCCTCAAAGCGCTTAAAGGCCTCTCTCGCCCTCCCAGGTTTCATCCGCACCGACATGACCTCCGGGCTGAAGGAGGCGGCGGCGGCGGCCCGTTCCGTCCCGCTGGGGAGGTTCGGCGAGCCGGAGGAGGCGGCCCGGGCCGCTCTCATCATGCGGGAGTCTCCCTACGTCACGGGCCAGGTGCTGGTGGTGGACGGAGCCCTTCAGCTCGCCATGTAGGAAGGCCTCGCCCCCTTTGAGGTCTCAAGAAGAAGCAGCCCTCGCGTGCATTCGTCTTTGACCCTGCTGCTAACGCAGGTGATGCACTGGAGGATTGCACTGTTTTAACCTTCTGACGCATCCAGAACGTCGGCAGATTTCCTTTTGCTATAAAAGTCAATGTTTGTCTCAGCTGAGTATCTGAGTGGTGTTTGCAGTGCGCAGCGAGACGCTAACGTTAGCCTATAAAGAAACAGCTAAAGGACGCTTAGTCTCGTGGGGCGTTCACTGACCTGTTTGAAATCAGAGGTTCAAACGCTGACATCTCTTCTCAGACAACGTCGTGAATCTGGACTGACGGTAACTTGTCGCGACGTCTCACAGGATCACCGTCTTTCTGCCGAGTCGCCCTGTGCGGCCGCAGTGGGCGTGGCCTAATGACGCCGCCGACTCCAGAGCGTCTGGCCCGGTCGCGAGGTCAGGGGAGACCCCCCCCCCCCTCACAGCCCACCTCTGGAGGGGCTGCAGCTGCAGGACGTTAGCGGCGGGAGGCATTTTCAGCTCTGGGAATGTTTGAGTGTCTGGTGACCGGTGGTGTGGACGGACGGGGTCAGAGGTCACGGAGAAGCTCAGACACGATTAGAAAATCCTCTTCCTTAAAGTGGATTGTTTCCCCTCGTCTATGAGAACAACGCCGGCCTCCTAAAAAACATCTCACGCCGTCTGACAGGGTTTGTATTTTAGTTTTTTTTATTAACTTTTCTAACCTAAAATAACATCAGGAGAACAATCCGCATACAGGCATCGATTAAAGAAGAAGTGTCCACTTTGTGTAGTAAAAGGTGAGATGGTAGATATAAATACACCTTCTGCAGCTTAGTGTTCTGTCCCTCAGTACCGGGGGGGGGGGGGTACGTCCTGGAAACTGTTGTTTGGCAATGTACAAGTGTCCAAAAGTATCATGCAGAGAGTTTGTGTTTGCATTAAGCCTAAAAGTGAATTAAAGCAGTAAATACATTAAAAAAACTTCATAGTGGACAAAAGGTTCACGTACGCACACGTTTGTCAAGATGGTCGTTCTCTTTTTTCATACAAAAGTAAAATGGACATGAACAACCTCCAAAGTGTGACAGATACACAAAAACCTTTCACAGCCCCTTCTGTCGAGTGACCCCCCCCCCTATAATAAACCACTAAAAACCCACTAAAACGTCTTCGTGTTCCACTTGTCCCTCCAGCTAGAGGACTAAAGCCGCCTTTATAGAAAGGAAGAAATAGTATGAATAATGATAGTGAATAAAAAATACATAAATTACTTAATAAATAAAATAAAGACAGTATACAAGCCTCAACTATTAAATAGATGTGCTGCTTAATAGAAAAATAAGTGCATTTGTAAAGAAAAATATTTTTGTAGAATTATTTCAGTTTTTATTTTGATTCCAAATGTTTTATTTTGAAATGAACTTAGACCTTTAAACATTGATATGGGAAGATTTCTCTTATTTTTGTAATTATTCAGACCTTTTATCAATTTATTATTATAGCAACTTTAGTCCTCACACATTACTTGTTAACTTAAAGATGAATCTCAAAAAACCTGCTTGTCTTTTTCAATCAAACGTTCCTTAAGCATCGATCTCTTTCCACCTCATTTCCTTTTCTGTGGCTGTTTTTCACAATCAAAGTCTCACAGCTGCAGAATCGTCGCCTCCTTTAAACACAACGCGCTACTTTAACATGCAAAGTAAACTCGACACTTAAATCTGTATCGCGAGAAACATCCGAGAGCGTTTTTGCGAGACAATAACAAAAACAACCGCCAGCAACCGCCAGCTGGACTCCTCCCACCGAAAAACCTCCAGTTCAATGTCCCGCGTGGTGCTCCGCCCCTCAAAGTATTTGTTCCTCAGGAGGGCTGAGAACCAGGGCTGCTCCTTGGGGGGGTGGGGGAGAGTTATCCCCCCCCCCCCTCGCCCCCATCTCCCCCGCGGCGCCTACAGGTCGTCGCTCTCCACCAGGCCGCCGGGCGGCAGCGGGCTGCAGTCGGGGAAGAACGCCGCCTTCACGTCCAGCCCTCGCTCCGTCAGCGCGGCGTAGCGGCTGGTGGACGGGCGCACCTTCTTGGGCTTGGGGAGGTTGGGCTGCTGCCACTGAGCTGTGGGTGGAGCGGGTGGGGGAGGGAGGGGAGGAGGGGGGGTGTTAGAGACGTGCAAGAGAGGAACCGCTGACATAAAGCACGCGTGCGCGCGGCGTACCGTGCACGTCGAGGCGCGCGGTGCTGGACACGATGCCGGCGTCGTTCTTGGCCGACACGGTGTACCAGCCGGCGTCTTCCTTCGTGGCCGGCTGGATGATCATACACAGGTAGCCGCAGTTGTCCTGGTGCATGCTGGGAAAGGGAAAAGCACAGTTTAAAAAAAAAAAATTTGGATTTCGGCGCCGTCTAGTGGGGCCCGGCGCTCCTTCCCACCTGACTCGGTCCGTGTTGTGGGTGAAGGACTCGTTCTCCCGCTTCCAGAAGATCTGCGGGTAGGGGACGCCGGCGACGCGGCACTCCAGTCGCACCGGATGACCGTCGGCCACGCTCGATGTTCTGCAGCTTCTCCACGAATGACGGGGCCTTGTGCATCTCTTTGGCTGCGGCGGAGGGGGGCGGGGGGCGGAGGGCGCGTTTAGTGACACCGTTTCTTTACCCAGAATCCCTCTGCTGCCGCGCTCTCGTTCTACCTGCGACGATGAGCTCCAGGTTGAAGGAGTCTGGCCGGCGCGGTTGCTGGCGATGCAGGTGTAGATGCCGGCGTCGCGGCTGGTCACGGGCTCGATGACCAGCGAGTGCACGCCGTTCTCCCTCACCAGCATCTTGTGGGCGGAGTCGGGGCGGATGGTCTGCCCGTTGAGCTGCCAGACGAGGTCCGGGGTGGGGAGGCCGCTCACCTGCGAGAGGGGGGGGGGGGTCACAAAGAGGAGAGCGCGTTCGTCGGATCAGAACCACCTGGTCACGCCCTAAAAAGGAGGCTTCACAGCGGCGAGTCCGTCTGGAAGAGCCCGAAACCTTTTAGACGTTTTGACGCTCGCAAAGTTTGGAAAGCAAATAAATATTTGCTATAAATATGGCTGAGATTGAGGAGCAGCGGAGGAATGGAGGCGCTTTTTATAGACGAGTTAATCGTGTGTTCTTTATACTTTATTACATGTAGCAGCTCTCGGAGGCAGAAAGTGATGAAACATTTCTGCCAGTTCTTTCATTTATTATTCTATTCTACAAAAGAAACGCAGATAAGGGAAATGTTTGTTTGGCAGCAGACGTGGAATTAAAGGGAGCATCTGAAGTGGGTCCCTCTACTCATCACCACCATGTTCTCTTTAGTCGGAGCGTTTCTTCATGTCTCTGCTTCAACTCTGAAATAACAGAGTTCAGGATTAAAGTGAGACTAGAACCCCAAACTAACGCTTGTGTGCATTTTGTGATGTGATTGATTCGGGGCCTGATGATGTTGAGTGCTGCAGGGAGCCCTTAGACGTCTATGAGGAAATGACTCTACTTCTCTGTAGTGACCAGCAGGGGGCGACTCCTCTGCTCCCATAGACGTCTATGAGGAAATGACTCTACTTCTCTCTCGTTTATTCCCTCAGTAAACGTTGTAAACATGAGTTTATGGTCTCAGTCTCTAGTTTCACGTCTTCTTCATGCAGCATGATGTTCATTTAGTGACTGATGGTCCATTTAGGGTCAAACTGACCATAACGAGGGGACGCCTCTTCCTCGTCGTCAGTAAACCCGTGACGAGGGTTCAGGTGCGTGTGGGCGGGGCTTGTGTTTACCTTGCAGTCCATCCGGCACAGCCGGCCCTCCTGTACGATGAGGTCACCGGGCGCCTGCAGGAAGTGGGGGCGGAAGTGGCGCTCTTGGATGTTGTCGTTCTCGTCGCCGCTGTCCCGGGACCGGGACCGGGGCCTGGTGGAGGCGGGGTTTAAAATCAATAAAAAAGGTATGTGATAAGTCTCCGTGACCATCCAGATGACACGTGTGTGCGTGTTCTGTTCTGGACGGATGAGCGGCTGTTCCCCCTCATTAACACGGAGCCTTCAGCCGACCGTCTCCTGTTGTTTTTAAAAGGGTTTAAACCACGCCTCTTGTCCGTCAGAGGAGCCTCACCTGCGCGTGTGTCCGGGGGCGGAGCGGGGGCTCCGGCCTCGCTGGTTCACGGCCTGGACCATCATCCTGCCGGTGCAGCTCACCCTGCCCTGTGGGGGAGGCAAGGGGGGAGGGGGGGGGAGCGTGAGGAGCCTGAAGCACGAGGACGTAGTGATTTCCTGCGCGGCGCCACGTCTCACCTCGGGGTTTCCCGCCATGATGGTGTAGTTGCCGTCGTCGTCCAGCGAGGCGGCGGCGGTGTGCAGAGAGCAGGTCCCGTCGGCCTCGCGGCTGATCCGGTAGTGCTCGCTCCTCTTGGAGATCTGCTTGCCGTCTTTGAACCAGTAGACCTGAGAGGAGGAGCCGCGGGTTAACGGGCCCAGACGGACCTTTTGAGAGTCTATTTTTCCTCCACAGCAGATCCTCCTACAGAGGTTGAGACCTGAGCTTCCAGAGTGATTAAAAGCCTTAAACAACAACGTCTCTTCTCCAAATGGTTATTTTAAACCTCTCATGGCTCCTCGGCCTCCGTCTCTCCTTTGTTCAGCACCACCCGTATCTACACCCCCCCCACCAGCAGCCCCCACAGACCTCCTCACCGCCGCTCCTCCACCACCACACCGTCATCAGGACGCGTCAATCACCAAGCAAGAATACTTGTGTTTGTGTTTTTGTGTTTTTAATAGAAACGAGTCCAAATTTCATTTCATTATTTTCCTTTTCAAGAAACGCTTGTTTGGATTAAAACACGTCCTCTTTCAGACATTCATTTTGTTACTTTGTTCCACTAGTTCAAGTCTGTAGATTCCTCCTGAATTTCCCCAAACTCACCGTTCGATAAACCACGTTTGCGCCATTGAATAAAACATTAAAACGCCACTAATTCAGGGCAACGAGATTCTCTCTCCCCCACCTTTGGCTTGGGGTCCCCGTGCACCTTGCAGGAGAAGGTGACCGGCATGCCCTCGAAGACCTTGTAGTGTTTGAGCTTGTGGTCGAAGGACGGCGGCGCGCCATCGCGCCCCGCGGCGTCCTCGTGCGTCACGTCGTCGTCGGACTCCTCCACCGGGGAGCGCTCCAGCGGAACTCGATCTCGCTGATCAAACGCTGCTCGAAGCTCGACACTTTGTACTCCTGCAAAAGGGGAAGAGATTCAGCGACGGGCCACCGGTCGGTCGCCAGATTTGGTGCCATCTAGTGGCGGAGCAGCAGATTGCCAGCGGCTAAAAACCCCCA